AGTATTTTTTTCAAAAAACGTATAGCTGGTAATAGTATTTTTTTCAAAAAACGTATTGCTGGTAATAGTATTTTTTTCAAAAAACGTATAGCTGGTAATATTATTTTTTTCAAAAAACGTATTGCTGGTAATAGTATTTTTTTCAAAAAACATATTGCTGGTAATAGTATTTTTTTCAAAAAACCTATTCCTGGTAATAGTATTTTTTTCAAAAAACGTATTGCTGGTAATAGTATTTTTTTCAAAAAAACGTATAGCTGGTAATAGTATTTTTTTCAAAAAACGTATTGCTGGTAATAGTATTTTTTTCAAAAAACGTATTGCTGGCAGTAGTATTTTTTTTTCAAAAACGCATTGCTGGCAGTAGTTTTTCTTTCTTCAAAAACACATTGCCGGTAATAGTTCTCCTTCCTCAAAAAACACATCGCCGGCAATAGTTTCTTTTCTTCAAAAACGTATTGCTGGTAATAATTTTTACAAAGTATTTCTGGTGTTAAAACCCAATTTTACACTTTTATAATGCCTTTTTACCTCAGTTTCGGGGTTAATTATTTTCCCATAGTTGGGACACTATCAGCTGATACCACCCCGGGTCAGGGTGGATCTGGGAACAATTAAACAATTAAGAGGTGATTCGACGCTCATCAAAGCCTCCTGTTGATGTTGGACGTAGTTTATCGTCTTACCCTGGACGCGGATGTAGTTTATCGTCATACACAGGACGGTATCCGTTCAAGCTGTTGGTGATCATGGCTCACCACAATTTCCTGTACTTCGTAGCTCTTAATATATTTTGTCTTTTAACAATCTTTCCCTAACCTCTTCCGCCATCCATACGCTCTGTCTCGCCAAGTAAGGTTATGCTGCTTTTCCTCTGTCCCTCGTAGCTCCAATCTATCTTGTGAGTATCAAATTTACCAAGCCATCTTCCCTCACTGGGTACCTGTGTGTTGTTGATTTTAAGTATAAGTGACCTTTGTTTTTTGCTGTTGGTTCAAGAATTTCGTCGTTGCTCTCATGTTCGGTCCATAGTATTCTCTGACTTTTATTGTAGAACTACATTTCTCTCGTTTCATGTGTCATCTGTGAAGAGATTGTCCAGTATGGAGTCGGATTGATATTACAAAACATTTCAGTACTCTCTTCTATTCTACCGATATTTTTCTCCTTCTTAATATTTTGCCAGCCGCTTTTATGTTGCGAGGGAATCTAAGAGAAAACGTCGCTTATAATAATGCATCGAGGGAAAACGCTGACGATGGAGAGGCGGTAAATTTTCCTTTTTTAAATTTCTGGTGCCCAACGTGTCTAGACGTATAGCTCAAAACTATGCCATTCAGTTTCCCAGCATTTGTTTTTTTTTTTTTTTGCTTGTTTGTTTTATTGCCGTTGTTTGTTTGTTTTTTTAAGTACCACACATTGCGTCAACAGAAGATTTGTTGAAGCTAGGGCGAATGTTTTAAGAAAGAGGACGCGAGTTTGGCGCAGAAGACTCAGTAAACAGTGTAAACGTTTTTGCGTTAGTAAATCACGTTCTCTTATAATTAAAGCAGATATAGCGCGGATGGTGTAATAAACAAAATTATTAATCCTAATCTCTCAACTCGATTTTAGTCACTTTCCTACAGCCGTGAGGTTGCATCCCTGTGTCTTTTCTATAAATATTTTCATGGTAATTGTTCGAATGATCTCTTCGCTATAGTACCCAGAGTTTTTGAATTTAAGTACATTACTAGACTGGCGAGATGAAGTCTAACCTATTTACAGTTGAGTTGGCGAGATGCAACCGTAAGTTCTATGCTAACAGTTTCTTTTCTTGCACTTCTTGCATGTGGAACTCTCTTCTGGCTTCATACTTTCCAACAAAATTTAATCTGCAAAATTTAAATGCAATGTCAATTGCTGAATACTGCCCTCATTATTATTCTTTTCTCTTTCTTCTCATTATTAATATTTTTTTCCAAATTCTTCCACACCTGTAACATCTTCTGTTTTTACAGGTATTGTTGTGTTGCATTCGGTGATACTACTTAATATATATATATATATATATATATATATATACAAAAAATCGACACCAACAAATGCCTGACAAGTGAACGAAAGCAAACACAATAAAACGAAAAAATACTACAGCGAATGAAGCAAACATCAAGAAACAAATTATATAACACTGAACAAGAGATAGCTTATTCCTAAAATTTTGCTTGAAGATGAAACGGGACTAAACACCTCAATTCAACTTAATTTTAATAATTATTTGGATGGTCTCGGCTCTTGTTTTTGAAACATGAGAACTCTTATGTAGCGAAGGAATCATATTTTTAAACAAAAAATATTATAATAAAGCTCTACTTCTGTATGGAGCACTGTCTTCTTAAAAATAAAAACAAAAATACTAATACGGATTATGCACCCAACGTGTTCTTTTGTACCTGCGCACTTATATATATATATATATATATATATATATATATATATATATATATATATATATATA